GGGGAGCCAGTGACTGGAGAATGTATAAAGCTGATTGACAACGTATAATGAAGACTGACCTAATTCATGGGGGAGACATTAAGAATGAGGTCTGAACCAAGAATAAGGTATCCAGAAATCTCTATGAAATGACTGTGAAAACCTGGCAAGAAGGGCCATTTGAATGTGGCAGGACTGGGGACTAGTAAGATCAACCTCTGCCGAATCTGTTGTTTTCAGAAAGGGCCTTTGCCCTGTTACAATACAGTCCATGTTATAAATCATTGGGAGCAAATTTTCCCAAGGAACATTGGGCAATTTCTGGAGGTATTTTTGGTTGCTGCAACTGGGGTTGTGCTCCTGGCATCTAGTGAGTGGGGGCAAGGGATGCAGGGATGCTGCGGACATCCTACAATGTTCAGGGCAGCGCCCCTTCCCACTCCCGCTCCCGCCCCCGCCGCCATCCCCATGACAGAGTATCCAGGCTGGCACTAAAGTCGGTGATGCTGAGTTTGAGAAATCCTGTTATGGATGAGGGCAGGGAAGCCAAATAAGTGTATGCCATGGATGTGGGTTCATTCATTCATCCATTCATTCACTCAGCAAGAACTTACTGAGCACGTACTATGTTCAAGACACTATTCTGGGCATCGTCGAGGCATACCAGGCACCCCCTAGCCAAAATTGTCACCTCAAATAGCCTGCCTAGTCATACTCCTGTTACCCAGCCTAAAATTTCCACCATTAAAATGGTGGCAAAACTTGTCTTGCTGTCTGTAGAAAGAAGAGACAAAAATCTATGGGTACAGTTTACAGGAAGGCTCACTGAGACACTGTAATAGTGGAAACCACCTGAATGTCAGCAGGAGAATGCTTGCATGATTTGCTACATCCATACCGTGGTGTACGAAGTAGCCAATTAAAAATGAAAGAGGCAAATTTCTTTGAGATGACACAGAAAATATCCATGAAGATACTAACTGGATTTTTTTTTCAGAATAGCAGGTAGAATGTAATTGATCTGATTTTTTTTTAATTGGTTTATATGTGTGTTTGTGTGTGCATGCAATTGCTGGGAAAATTCTCATCAAATTCTTTAAAAATGGCTACCTCTAAGATGTGGGAAGAAAAGGAAAAAAAATGTTAACACATTAATTGAGAATAGTTCTCTCCCTAATTCCCTCCTTTCGCATCGGTTAGACTGTCCCCAGTTCATCCTCTCCACTACTACCAATGTTCAACCAGTCACGAACTTCTGGAGAACCTTCACCTTCCAGGACAACATCTATTTCTCATTATTAATCCAACCCCTTCAAAACTCGCCTCTAGCCAGTCTTCATAGGCTCTTCTTGGGAGTTGCTTTTCCTGCCTCCGCCCTCTTCCTACCCCCCCCTCCCTAGAACTTAAGTCACCGGGAACTCACCAGGACTCACCACACCATGCTCTTAAGACAGGCTCACCTCGGTGCCCGAAAACCAGTCCTTCTCTTTTTCTGTGTATTATTCAGGGTAGACTAAGTTATACTGTGTTATAAGGAAATTTCAGTGACTTCAAACAACAAATGACCATCAACACGTGCATTGGTAGGCTGGCGGGGCAGCTCCGCTCCGTGTCGTCCTCAGCTGAGAGCCCGCGCTGAGCGAGCTCCCGCCCTCTGCTCACAGGAGGGAGAGGGGAGACGTGTTTGCCGTTACACTAGCACCTGGAAGTTACTCCTACTCATATTTTATGGGCCAAAATAAGTCTTATGGCCACACCTAACGTAAAATGAGGTGGAGACTTTCAATTTTATTATTTGCTTGGAAGGAGGGGGATCATAAATATTTGGGGAACCTGAATTCTGTAATTGCTGGGTACAATATCATATACAGATGTGTGTGTGTGTGTGTGTGTGTGTGTCCCCACTAAGTCAAGTTTGCTGGTCATGTTCAAATATTCTGTATCTTTGCTCATTTAGCTGGTCATTTCTTGTGGTTTGTGTCAGTGTTAGCTCCATATTTTTGAAGCTACGTTATAAGATGTGTGAAAGTTTTACATTCCCTGTATGTTCCCTGTGAATTGAACTTTTTATCATTATGTGTCCTTCTTTAGCTGGAGTAATGCTTTTTGCCTGGGAATATATTTTGTCTGGTATTATTATATACTATTAATATAATTTCAGTTCATATTCATATTTTGTCCACCCTTTACTTTCTACATTTTAAAATTAGTGTTTTAGATGTGTTTTTTATAAACAGTATGTAGATTTTTAAAATCCAGTTCAATACTCTGATTTTTAATTGAAGTATTTTGTCCACTTACATTTGATGTAACTACTGATATCTTTGGATTCAAATCTTACCATCTTATTAAATGTTTTCAGTTGTCCTACATGCTCTGGTTTCTTTTTCTCCTCTTTTCTTTCTTGCCTTTGGAGTGATTGGATATTCTGTTTTTCCTGCTATTAACTTAGAAGTTATATGCTTTTTTTTTAACTATTCTTCAGAGATTATCCTGGAGATTACAATATGTATCTTTGATTTATCTAAGTCTAATGTTAATTAACATTTTTATCTTCTTCCATAGTAATACAAGGACTTTAGAACATTTTAATTTTTACCCCTCCTTCCTGACTTACATTTTAATTTTTTAAATCCCCAGTGGACATTGCAATGCTGTTTTACAGTCACTTCATTTGATTTCTTTAACCTCTGTGGCGTTCTCCAATTCTTCCTGCACCTGTAACTTATCATATTAAATCATCTTCCTTCTGCTTAAAGAGCATTCTTTGGGATCCAATGCTTGTAAAGAATCCTGAAAATGTCTTAATTTAACCTTTACTATTAGGAGCTGCTTTCACTGGGCATGGAATTTCAGATTGGCACTTACTTTCTGTCAGCACTTTGAAGATGTTTAAGTCCTACTAATCTCTAGCTTCCATTGCTTCTGTCAAGAAGTAAGCTAATGGTCTGTTCCTTTTTCTCAGGCAATGGCAGCTGCCTTTAACACTTTTTCCTCTTTGTCTTTGGTTTGCCCATATTCTGTAACGACCTACCTTGGTGTAGCTTCCTTTTTATTTACCCTGCTTGGGGTTCCCAGGGATTCTGGAATCTGCGGCTTGTTTTCAGTCAATTTTGGCAATTTCTCAAGTACTTTCTCTTCAAAGTAGTACTGCTGCCCTGTTGTCTCTCTCTCCTCCTCCTGGAACTCCTGTCTTCACTTCATCGCCCGTATCGCTTAATCTCCCCACGGTGTTCTCCATCCTTGTGCCTCGCCAAGTTTCACCCTGAGGTTTTCTTCTAACCGACTTCCCAGTTCATCGCGTCTCCCACTAACTGTGTCTAGCCTGCTGCTAAAACCATCCACTGAGCTCTTCACTGTTGTTATCACATTTTTTTAACTCCAAATTTCTACTTGGTTATTTTTCAAATCATTATTGTCCCCTCTCCCACTTTTTTTTTTTTTAAGTTCCCAGTTCTCTGCCAGATTTTTAAATCCTCTTTTATCTCCTTTGAACAACATCTGTGTGGGGTAACTCCCAAGGTGGAGTTCTCTGGGGTTGCTTCCATTGTAGCTGTGACCGCGGGATCTCATTCACGTGGTCTTAGTTCCCTACGCGTCTGGGTCTTTTCAGATGGACGTTGTACGTGGAAAATTGCTAGGAGAAGTGACACAAGACATTACGGTGTTCTCCTCCAGAGGACACTTTCATTTGCTTCTGCTGGGCACCTGGGGATGCTGGCAACCTGGGATAGGCTTAATCCCATTTGAAGAATTAAGCTGATTGGGAGCTGGGTTCAGGCCCTGCAGAATCTGGTTGTTTCCAATTCGCCTCGTCTTAAGGTGTAGTCCTGCGGGGTCTCTGTTCCAGGGCCCCTCTCCTTTGGCGGATTTCAGCTTTTGTCCCCTTAGATGTGCAAAGCTGCCCAGGTGCTGCGTCACCTCTCAGCTTCGTAGCTGTTTCTTCTTGTAGCAGCAAGAATTTCAAGGGGAAAGGAGCCCCCAGTTATAGGGCTCGCCTCCCGGAATGTCCACCTTTCCCCAGAACTTGGTTTAGCGATTCTTCATTATCTCATTAACTCGTTGATGCCTTCAGACTGATTTTATCTTAATTTTGTCCAGTCTTTCTAATTGTCCTCAGCAGGAAGACAGGTCTCAGTGATCAAGTCTGCCGTTAGCGGATGGTAAGAAACAGAAATGCAGGAAGCAGGCCCGGTGCGCCTGCCCACCTGATGTGCGTGGTGGACGCTGGGGTCAACCATAGGGCATGGGCTATTTTTGCTTGATGGAAATGAAAGTCTCATGTTGCCAGACTTTCCAATTTTTTTTAAGAGGAGTAGGAAATGCAGGCTTTTTAGATGTGAAATCTCAATTTTCAGCGGTGGCTAAAAAAAAAAAATTAACTCTCAATGAGCCAAACGAGACCCATCTGGGGTCCAAATTCAGCCTATTGGACACCAGTTTGAAATAGCTGGACTCCAGCCTGTGTTGATGGGAGAAGCGGGGTGAAGGGTGGCTGTCCTTCATCATTATACGCGAGCCTCCAGTGGTCCAGGCTGCCTTGGAGAAACACCAGTCTCTCATAGAAAAAATAATTTTAAAACCGATTTATGTCTTTACTGAAATCTCTTAAACATGCCAAGGGGGGCAGGGGATGGATTCCAATCATAACACCAACAACACGTCTGAAAAAAATCTCCCATCTCTCTCCCGAATTCTCGTCATGGCAGCCTGGCAGCTACTCCAGTCCCCCTTAATTTATCTCTTAAAGTCCCCCCAATGCAGCCCATCCCTGGCTCTTATCTCCCTTGTGCCCCCCTCACCTTCACTTTCTCCAGTAGGTAATTCCCTGCCTGTTCTTCGGTGTCATCTGACCCACAGCACTGCACCCTTCCAAATCCCGTCATGCATTTTCCCGTATTCTCCACAAGAAAGGCTCCGGAACGTAGCTGGCCAAGACTAAATCCTCCTTCACAGGAGGTGGGGGTGGGGAGAAACAATGCTGTAGACTCTAAAATATGTATGTTTTCCTCAACCATCAGCTCTGCCATCTGGGGGCTGGGGGGTGAGGCCAGGACGAGATGTCATTTGCAAAGGAGGCAGAGCCCAGATCCAGGATGCTTTGGCACCAAGGTGAGTTCCCAGATGGCTGCCTCCTCCTTGTCCTTTACCTACTATTAAAGGGACAGGGCCCCCACCCGAACTACCACGTCTTCCCACAGAGGAGGAGGGAGGAACCCAAAGGAAGAGAAAGCAAATGTGGGTTTTCTCTGATGTGTCTAATAATAGAAAGTTGGCAGAGCATGTCACGAAATAGAAAGTATTTGATAAAAATACCATCCGTTGAGCTCGGGACTCAGGCTGGAGATGCATGGAATGAAATCTGTTCCTTCTACTAGTGTTCCCATGCTAGTGTCACAGTTCTGTCTCCCGTTAATGACGAAGGGCTAAAATGCTGCTCTCTGTGGCCGAAAGGCTGTCTTTCCCAGGGTCTGATGGTGGAGGAGATGCTGGCCGAATTAGAGAGAGCCCTGGACTGAGAGGATCGTGGGTGTGGCCATACCCTCCTCTCACCCACCCTTGACTTTGCCACTTTGTCTGGTCTCTCTGACACCACCTTGTGAGTTTTCCAAACAGTCCAGTGTTGCTGACTCACAGGAGCCTAATTAGGAATAATGACAGTGTTGTGTTTTTTCTCCTGCAAAGGGAGGCCGCTGGCCCGGGGGCCCTCAGTACAGGGCAGGGTAGAGGCTGGTGTCTCCCCACCAAAGCAGCTCCCCACCGTGTCTGGGGCTCTCACACCCCCCTCCTGCTCCTGAGGACCCCATGGGGGTGTCTCTCTCAGGTCAGGACGGGGCTCCAGAGCTGGCCTTTCCACGTCCCACAGTCCAGGGAGTGGCTATCCCCAGCTCTCCCAGACCCCAGCTCCTAGGAGATGTCTTGCCGCCGGCTGAGTTTCCTTTACTGAAAAGCAAAGCTGAGCCAGTCTAATAACAGATGAGAACAAGGGATCAAGTGGCCCCTTTTAAATGAGCTAATTTTTCCCTTGATGTTTTTAATTGTGGTAAGATACACGTAACAAAATTTTCCATCTTAACGGTTTTTAAGTAAACAGTTAGTGGTGTCAAGTACATTCGCACCGTTGTGCGCCCATCTCCACCGTCCATCCCCAGAACCCTTTCCGTCACCCCAGACTGAAACCTGGTACCCATGAGACAGCAACTCCGCGTTGCCCCTCCCCCCAGCTCCTGGCAACCACCCTTCTACTTCCCGTCTCTATGAATCTGGCCACTCTGGATACTGCAGGTGGGTGGGGTCATACAGTGTTTATCCTTTCGGGACTGGCCTGTTGCATTTAGCATAGTGGCCTCCGCCTTTCGGCTGTTGTGAATGACGCTGCGGTAAATATGGCTGCTCTTTTCTGGATTGTTTTGACCGGTTTGTGCTTTGACAGGACTGTTTGGGAAGGTAATCCAGATGCTGCAACGTTTCAGGGATCTGAGGCTGGCCACTGAGACCTGCTTTAGGTGGAGACAGCCTTGGTGTCTCTGGCAGCAAACTACGTCTCGTGCATCTGGGGCTGCCTGCAGGTACGTGTTGTGCGTTTCCTCACTGAGGGGGTAAGAAGTCACGTCCGGTGGGAAGAAAGTGTTTCTGACTGTAAACACCTAACTTCCCAAGCCGCTTGGCCGAGACTCTCGACAGGGGTTGACCATCAGCGACAGTGGGAGGTGTTAGGGCAATGCAGGTGCCAGGAGGCTCTGGCATCACACCCGCAAACATGTGTCCCCTACGTGGGCTTCAAACACCTCCCTGTCCTGACTCTTTAGGGTCCTTGTTGATGCACACCCACCCCCTTTCTCAGTCCCCCTGTATCTCCAACTCTTTAATTTTTTCCCCCTCAGCCTTGCAGCATGCACAAGTTTAACAAAACAAAACTTCAAAGCAAATCATATCCCACCCCACCTCCAACCCCCCGTTGAAGGCAAGAGCCCTGCGTCCTGAGTGGTCCTGGCAGCTTTCTTCCAAGGCGGTCCCTAAAATACTGAGAATTGTATATTCTATTATTTCTGTGTTTATTTATTTCTTTCTCTTCTCCATCAAGAGAAGGGCTATAATCTAGAACCACACCCTCACAGACCCAGAAATAAAAGCAACATTTGCAAATCACCTTTCACACAGAGGAGCACAGGAGTTAGGGGATCAGTTCTATCATCAAACAGACCTCGAAACAACTCCCAGCCCTGCCAATTGTTAGCGGGGAGACCTTAGGCAAGTTTCTTAACTCTCTGTGCCTCCTCCCCTCACCTCTAGGACGGCAGCTGTAACTGCAGCCTCCTGGTGGGAGTATTAGGAGAAATAAGTAAAAAAAAAAAAAAGTACTGAACACAGTGCATGACTCATAGGAAGCATTTCATAAGTATGAGCTCTCGTTATAACTTTTTATTGGGGTAGGTTGAGCTTAGTACTTAAATCTGTTTTGATTTTCATGCCTGTAAAACTTTAATGAACAAATGTGGTAAGACTAAGGGGTCTAATTGCAAAATTCTCTAGAGAATAATTGGTTTCCTAAGAGAGCAGGAACATTCACTAAAGACAGCATGAGAACTACAGGGAGAAGCATCGTGTAGGGGCTACTGAAAGGCAGACTCCCTGAATGAGGGTGAACACCCCTAGATGGTGTGGGCTGATCCGGAAGACACGAGAGCGTGATTAAATGTGCACCTCAGTGATTAGCGTCTCATAAGATGAATGATCTCTGTGATGCAAGTACAAACACAGACTATGGGAAAGCAGCCACTGGAAAAGCTACCGGATCTAAAATTAGATGACAGTCAGCAGTCTGGCCACCAGACGAGGACTCTCTTCTTTGATAAGTTTCACAAAACCGTAGCCCTCATTTTAAAAGAAGTAGGGAGATTCCAAGAACAGGTTGCAGGGTACGGGGATAGAGACAGGGTCTGATAAAATGGCTGAAATTGAAGGGCACTGAGGTGTAGTTGGCACGTGCTGTGCCACACATCGAGGCTGGAGGGTGGCTGGGCGGAGGCGAGGAGTCTAGTCCTGTGCGATGCCACGTGGCTCCAGTGGCACATGTGGCCCTTGAGCAACCTGACGTGTGGCTGGTGGGCATGAAGAGGTGCTGTGAGTGTCAAATGTGCACAGACTTCAAAGACTGAATTAAAATAAAAAAGAATGTAAAATCTATCAACAATTAACAAATACTAGTTGCATGTTAAAATAACAGTTTTGATGTCAATGTTGGGTGACATATAAGATATTAAAATTAATTTAATGGTTGCTTTTTAAATGCAGCTTCTCGAAAACATAGAAGTACACACGTGACTTGTATTTGTGACTTGCTTTATATTTTTATTGAACTGTGCTGATTGGTTCAGACCCACAGTCCCCTTGCCCCACCCAGATCCAGCTGGTATTAACCATGACCTTGGACAAATTATTTAACGTGTCAAAGCTTCAGTTTCCTCATCAGTAAAAGAGTGGTTGTAGGAATTAAAGGGGGTAATTGAAAAAGCATTAACAGAGTGCCTTGCCCAGAGGAGGTAAACAAGTGTAAGGTTTTTTTTCCCTGTTATTATTTCAACCCACAGAGCGGAGAGTTTACTAGAGGTTGGTACATTAGGTATTTAAGATAATATTAGGGGATGCCTTCCCAGTCTACCCAGTGGGAGAGGAACATCTGCCCACCTTGAAGAGCAGCAGTTCTCAGTGGGGGCATCACGTCTGGTGATGCCTGAAACATGTTTGATTGTCCATACCTGGGGGGCGGGGGCTGCTCCTGGCATCTACTGGGTAGAGGACAGGGATGCTGCTAAACATCCTGCAAAGTACGGGACAACACCTCCCCCCACCCACCGCCAACACACATACAATAAAGAATTACCAGGTCAGAATATCAACAGTGTCCACGCTGAGAAACCTGAATTAGAGGCTCTTGATAATTTACAGGCTTAGACTGATTAATGCTCAAGCTCTCAATATGTGTGGCATAAGGAGAAACTACAAATGCCATCCAGGTGTATGCCCTGCAACCAGCAGCATCAGTCACCCAGGAAGTCAGTAGAAACGCAACTTCTCGGGCTCCATCCTAGTCCCACTGAATCAGAATCTCTGGGAATGGAGCCTAGAAATCTATGGGTTAACAAGCCCTCTAGCTGATTCTAATGTACTATGAAGTCTGAGAAGCCTACTCAGCTGAGGGAGTTTCCTGGTTACCAACTCCTGCACATCCCAGACCTGAGCAGCAGGTGGCAGCAAATCCTATAAGGCTATTGTAACACCTGCTAAAAGCTGACAAGCTGCGTGCTTGCACCAAGTCAATTGGTGACAGAGCTGGGTACCAGAGTGTCTACACTAGACCAGAGTTAATAAAGGCAGCTTTCTAACTTCAGGAATGTGAGGGAGGAAACGGTTCAAAGTCATTCTAAGGTCCCTTCTTAGCCACATAGTGATTCCAGGGCTTTGAAATTGTTCAGTTCTAACTTATGTTACAAAGGCATCTTCTCCAGTAGAGAATTCAGTGAGTAATCCAGTTTGGCCTATTCTCCTAAAACTATAAAATCCCAAGGCCATGAGAATAAATTATTTCTGTTGTCCTTAGGCACCTTTGGGCCAAGCATCTGACCCATCACCCACCTGAATGGACCCTTGGCCCTTCCTCTACACGTGGACCAGGTCTAGGGAATGATGAACATCTCAAGTTTCCCTGGATCTTCTGTCAAGCAGGTAAGACTAAATTTGTTCAGCAACTTTTATTAAGGCTGAGTGAGTGCATTACAGTGCAGGTAATTTTCCATTTATGCCACAAGGTGGCACCCTCACCCTGCCTTGGGTATCTATGGTTCAGGTCAAGACACTGAAGGGGAAGGTTAAAGCAGCGAAGGGAGGAGGAAGGAACTGTTACTTTTCTTCCAGAAAGTCAGTGATGTGGGCTCAGAGTTAGACATCCACCCTGGACTCGAGAGCCGGGTTTCTCCAAATGTGGTCCCCGCAGCATCAGCATCACCTGGGAAGCTGTTAGAAAAGCAAATTCCCCATCCCAGACCGACAGAATCAGACGCCCTGGGGGCGCGGCGCCGCAATTTGTTTTAATGAGCGTCTCCTCCGCCTCCTCTCCCCCAGGTGATGGTGCTGCAGGCTCCAGCGTGAGCAGCACTGCTCTCCAGTCCGGAGCATCTTCCTGGTGATTGGCTGGGAAGCAAAACCACGTTGCCATCCGATCTCATCACACTTCTGCCAGGAGGTGAAATGGAAGAGCCCACGTTCTTGATCTTCTCAGGTCACTTACCTGAGAACCACTGAGTTTTCTGAGGTCAGTCGTTCTGCACGAACCTGTGGCATCCCTGGGCTCTGGGGGATATAAAGGAGTACTAAGTACGGTGTCTGTCCTCATGGAGATTCCACTCTCCTGTAGATGGTGGCGTTGCCACGGGAACCAAAGACCGAGGGGGGCCCCGAATGGTGCGATGTGGCTGCACGAGGAAGCAGACGCCTGCCAAGGTCCCTTCCCTGTCCTCACCTTTCTCTTCTCCGCACCCGCCCCTACCCGAGGCTGCTACAGTCCCTCCCTTTCCCCTCCCCTCTCAACTGCCCGCCCCAGGTTTGCCCTGGTTTTCGCTTTCTTTTCCCTAACCTCCCACATCTCTTTTCCTATTATTTCGCCTATCCCATTCTGTTTTTCTTCTTCTTTTTTTTTAATCACAAAAGTCCAAGGATAGGTCCAGCAGGGATGGGGTCCCCAAAGGGCAGGGGGAAAGGAGAGAACCGAGTGGACAAGGGCAGATTTCTGTATGGGGTCAAGACGGAGAACTCCGGGCTGCACCGGGATCACTGCTGCTCCTGCCCCCGGGGCAGGGCGGGCCTGGGGAAGGGAGAGCGCTCCCTGGGCTGCGGCTGGAGGGAGGAGCTCGTGAGGGCGGCTGGACGTGCGCTAAGGTTTGAAGGGGCTTCGGGTGCGCAGAAGGGACGGAGGGGCCATGCCAGCCCCCTAGCAGGGAGGAGTGGGGTGTGATGGGGCGTCATGGGAAGTGACGCTGGTTGGGTCCCCATACTGAGGAGGTGACAGTTCCACTTTGAGTTTGATGATGGAAGTGCTAGAGAGATACAGGAGATTCTTGAGCAGAGGAGAACCGTGCATAAGAATAAAATATATTGGTATTGAGAAGGCATCAGCTATGGCGGGTCACAAACTCAGATGCCTACAGTGTGGAGCAAGCCCAGGTGAGAAACAGCGGGCGTGGAGGGGCGGGGGAAGCTCAAGGTCAGATGTTGGCTCTCAAATGGACAGTTATTACACACATCAGGACAGTTATTGCTGTGGGGAAATAGGAGCCCAGAGCTGCCAACTCTTCTAGTTTCTCAAGAGAAGTTGGAACTCTGGATTTGTTTCTTTTGGGGGGGTGGGGTGGAGGGGAAGTAATTAGGTTTGTTTGTTTGTTTGTTTGTTTAATGGAGGTCCTGGGGATTGAACCCAGGACCTCGTGCATGCTAAGCACGCTCTCTACCTGAGTTGTACCCTCCCCGCTGGATTTGTTTCTTAATATGAAGTTTCCCCATTTTTAAATATGGCAGCTAATTAGAAATCTAAAAGCTGGGCCTCTGCTTGGCCACGTCTCACCTGCATTTTTTATCTGACCTCGGGATTTGTACCATACTCTCAAAATACTGTGTCGTCTCTTCTGCGTTTCCTCCCTCACTCTTTTATTACCAAGTCCATTAATTATAAGCAAAAAATAAATATAACATTCACCAAACATTAATAATGTGCTGTTTTAAATGCTTCACATAGATTATCTCACTTACTCCTCCCACAACCCTGTAAGATGAGTTGGTCCCATTTATAGACGGGATTAAGTGTCAGAGAAGTAAACGCGCTTGCTCCAGATCATTCAGTTACCAAGTGGGGGAGCCAGGACTCACACCCAGGTGGTCGGATTCCTAAGTCATGCTTTTAACCTGTATGCCATAGCCCTTCCTGTAGAGTCCAGTTACCGCATTT